GATGCACCAGTGTTCCACCGTGGTCAGATGGTTTTTTTTTGAAGTTGCCTAGCACTTGACCTTCCATTTCACTTTGAAGAACCCCTTCAGCCACAATGCTAATGGGAAAGGGTCCACATTTCGTATCATGTAACAGCAAGTTCGCTCCACTGGTTCACAGAAGGAATACAAAAAAGGGTTCATATGACAAAACGAACGGAGTGGTGCAGTACTGTTGTACACGACCACACACATCCGTGGTTCGAAATAATACCCATCTACGATGATCGAACCTTCCATCCCTTCGAAGCCCGTAACTCGTCCATACTTCATCTGGGAGGATAAAAGCATTGACTTGTACATGGGCTGGCCACTGCAATTCATTGTGTAGGCCACATATTTACTTGAAACGCCACCATTATACGGTTCTGAATAGAAGTCGAATGAGGGGCGTATTCGGCACATGGAATTGATCAACAATAAAAGGCTTCGTCCTTATTCTCATGAGAGGAAAGCTGCCCTGACGTAAAGCTCAAAAGAGCTCGAACAGTGGAACTGATTATCGTACTGGATGTTTGAATTTTGAATTCTGGACTTCGAATCAAAATAAATTCGATCGAACCAGAATGGACATTTCTGTTCAGGCATTCGTAAAGAGCACCGAGTAGAAACTAATTTAATTAGTGGCAATTTCTGACAGAGTTCGCTAGATTTCTGGTAAAGGCCGTACATTCGACCCCTTTACTTTTACTTTTACTTTTAAGAATACGTAAACCCTATGCCTGCTACTAATCGTTAAAGACCATCGAGCGTTTGAGTTTGTTTGTAATAGAATCGGCGATAATTCATGCAAAATTCAACTAAACACCGCGGCAACGATCGGCGTTTTGCCTTGGAAATGAATATCGCGTGATATTCTCACATCACGTTCAGTATTAGAGAACCAGTAAAGCTGTAGATATAATCCCTGCACTGATCACATCAAAAATCAGCTGACGACAATGTTTAAAACCCCCAAAGAAGCTTAAATGCAGGATTTTCCAATTGGAATCAAACATGGCAGAAACATCCTGAACTAATGCATTCTAGGAAACATCTAGGTATTTGTCTTTGTTGTTTTTTTCGTAAAACGAAAGCAGTCTGATTCCTTAATGCTGTAATCCGAGGCTACGTGACCTGTCCGGCTGGTTGGTTATTTTTGACCAAAAAACCGTCCCGCTAAAAGACTCCTGCACACATGTTGACATTTCAAATATTCTGCTGCCCTCTGACTCACATGAGAAGTGCAAAGGACTTGCAGGCCTCCACACCCACGTTCCTGCACGAGCAGAGAGTGGTTTGAAGTCCTCTACTAGTACTTGAACCTTTCGGAATCACCACGATCATCAGTTATTTGACACGACCATCGTGGATGAGAGGAGTTACAAATTTGTACGACATGGCAAGCTTACTGGCGCCCAGAACTGCTCACTACTGTTACAAGCCAGCTTGGAGTCGTTGTATCATTTCCTTAATCCCAAACACTCGCCCTGCTTTTCCTTTTCCGAACCCGAAGCGAGGTGCTTCGGATAGGTGCGGGGTGGAAAGAGCTATCTTCCGCGGCTTGATTCTAACTGTAGGAGTCACGGCTCATGTCACAGTCCAGATTGTCTTTTAGTGATGATCAGACCCGTACCATTCGCAACGTGACTAGCTGGGTCTATATTTTTCTTTCCAGTCATTTTTCTCCCGTCACGATTGAAAACATATGAAGAAAGCATGATTAAGCAGATGTATTCAAAAATACTATTTTATTACTTAACTTTACAATTCGCTACCTAGAAGCTGTTTTACCAGAGAGGTAGACTAGCTGAGTCTGGATCCCAGCAATGTTTGGATGCATGATCCATGCAAGTTCCACACTGGTGACTCCTCTCTCAGGCACGACATGGATCAGGTGCGGTTTTGGGAAAAAGGGGAGGGAAGGGGGTAAAAGATGTCTGTCAAATGAAGCGCATTAAAAATAAGTCAATGGAGTGGAACAGACGAACAAGAAGCCTACTTCTTAGAAATGCGAACATGCTGAGCAATCATGCCGCTAATTTTTCAGTCCTGCCCTCTTACTCGGAATGATAGAATGGGGAATTTGACTGCTTCCTTTAAAAAGACTACTCATACTTAGAAGGAGCACATTTGTACTTAGGAACATCATATTCCTCCAATTTGGCCCCCAATTGATGAAATTCAGAAGTGAGCACTTTGCATACTGCAAACGACAAAAAAGCAACTCACTTCTTCGAATATCCATTTGTTGATGTTGTTGTTGTTGTTGTAGCCGATAGGAAGACAGAGGAGTTCAAGAATGTATGCTTGGAATTGGAGATTGACACCTCCAACGTCTTGGGATCTCCGGCCTCTGGTTATTGAACATTTTTCCAATGTGGTGGTTCATTTACTGGGTCGTTGTTCGACGTCGTTCCCTTCCGTCGCATCTGAAATGGTCAAAAAACAAATGAGACTGTTTGTCCGAATGTCGTGACAGTCGAACTAAAGACGATATCAATCGGTAGGGAAGTAGCATCAACTCGCCTTGGTCCCAGGCGCCAAGGAGCAAAACTGGCCACACTCGTTGATTGGATGTATGGACTGATGTCACCGTCTAGTTTTAAGATCAAATTTCGTTGGACCCAAAAGGGCGCGAAGTCGTAAATGGTGGTCAAAAGGATATTCTTCGTTTTTATTTTACACATTTTTACTTCTGTTAGTCGTCCGGGCACTCAATCCGACCACTATTGCTGACTTCCAGAAGGAGCAATCTGTGGCTGCTGACTTCTATGTGGATCAGTGGTTACAGTTGTTACTAGCTCAGCTGTCTTAATGAATCGAATTTCACAAAAGTCCGGGAAGCGCGTTGCTTGGTCCTACCCCACTTTTCTGCTGTGTTGAGACTTCATGGAAATCCAGAACTCCTCTGGCACACTGCAAGTCCCACTTACTGGGTATCTGGATGAGAGTGAGAGATCAGTTATGTTGGTGGTCGGTTGCTCGGAGTTGCCTATGTCGTGAAGGAGCCAACACAGAAAGCTTTAATTTCTGACTGGATTCAATGCGAACATTCATCCTCATTTTTTCGATAGGGAACACGAACCGTGTGATAAGAAGGGAAGGTTTTCTCGAGTCGAATCTCTGCCGGACCAACTGTGCCATAAAAATGTTCAAGTACTGTGCTCGATCGTACTTTAAGGAAGTAGGGTTCATAGGCCGGATCGACAGCAACTTCGGTCTCACCCGTACTCTTAACTTGTCGAATTTTAATTTTTCGAAACTTTATTTCATTTCGTGGATTAGAACCGTTGTGATGTTCTTTGTCTGCATTACTTGAAAGCCAGTAATTAACTCAAAATGTAGATTTGTCTGTAGACTACAAGAATTGCAAACCACTTGTCGGTCGTTTCTGAACAATCCATTTTCAGGAACCTTCCTCGCGGACTCTACTACCCAGCATTTTCTGTGAACTGCAATTCAACGATCACCATACACACAGGACTTTGTGCTCCGTCAAGTTCGAGCAGTGAAAGTGAATAGCAAAGTAGTTCCCAAACGTCTTCTCTTGTCCCTAGACACGACCTCACCGTTCATCCAAGAACATTATCATAATTCATCCGGTCACCAACCATTTCTTTCCTTCTTACATCTCCCTGAAACTGCCAAATCGTCAGCAATACATGCATACATGCACGCTGTACCAAAACCAGCTTTACCGTACTCATCTACGGGGGATCCGGCTCACATTGATGCACGTCCCGATGTACTATTTTCGTCAGTTCTAACCGGTATTCTATATATGTACCTATTCTACGTAAGCATAATCAATGAAGATTACATATTGTAATCATGTGTACTGTTTGTGCAAGACATTCATTCACAAATAAAATAGATTATATTTAAATCATGTGGTCAGGAAAAACATAAACGCCAACGAACTCTGTGAAGACCATTATTACAGAATCACCAGAGGCCAAGGTCCGACAAAAACAGTACAGCACAAAAGGACATCAGCGTTTTCCTGGCTCTGTTCAACACATCAACGGCGATTGCTTCAACCAGGGCAAAGTAGGACATATTCGGAGCGCAAATAAGAAAAAATGGAGGCATTCCCAACACTACTCGGAATTATACAGAGCGGAACAGAGAATCGTAGCGAAAGAAAAAAAAAGAATAAAAATGTAGATCACAAACGACCTAACCACATACACATTATTTATAAAATTCGAGCACGAGAAACTCTCGAAACGAGCAGGACGCACATCGAACGGAACACAATGGGGAGGGAGCGGTGAAGGTGGTAGAAATACATAATATATTGGTACACACGACATGTATAACAATATACACGACGATGGGTACCGCAAATTTGGACGGGTACACAGATCAGATGAGAACTGAGATTGAAGCAGGCTCGAATGTTTACTTAGTCGTCATCATCGTAACGAATTCTGAAAATGCGTTAGTATTTCGTATGCAATTCAAAAGATATTTATGCAATTGAAATTGAAACAGAGCCATTTCGGTCACCACAAAACCGGCAGGAAACCTTTTTTGAAAGTGCTGAAAAGTTGAGATCGAGGATCCAGCGGATTTAATGAAAACAAATACTCCAGCACTCAACCACAATTTATGACGTTGTTCCAAACCTTTAGAATCGGTATCCGTTTAGCACCAACAAAGCAAAAGGGAGATCTAAGCTATCGAGGCTGTGTTGACATTGCGCCATCAAAAAATCCACAAAAACCGTTACACACGAATTGATTAGTCCTCGGATCTCGCGGTTCAAGGGAGATCGTACATTACGTGAAATAGACTACTTATCAGGTGTAAGTCTATCAATCGATTATCTTTGGTAGATTATCCTAACCAGTAGGAATGAATTCACTCTCTTCATTTGTTCGCTACGAGCAAATGCTGACTGACGCGACTCTCTCAACCATATTACTCGAAAGAGAAATTAACAGACTGGAGTCACCATGACACCGCTTTCCTAACGGCCTTTTCCCTCATTACATCTTCTTGACATTTGACGAACTCGTTACCTTCACGGAACTCACGGAATGCGGAAAACTCTTGGTGATAATTTTTTTTTNTTTTTTTTTGGTCAACTCGTCACCTCGCACCAATTTAAGCACAAGCCCCACATGCACCTTTTCACACACAATGGAACGATTTCAATGAAAACAACTTTTCAGAAAGAGTGCAACAAAGTGCATCGGTTGGGAACAGAAAACTTTTTGGGTAGCTGGAAGAAGAATGAACTCGCAAGTACTCTTTCATGAGGATTGGATTGAAAAGAAAAATACAAAGTCAATAAATAAAACGCACCTTCATAGTTCACTTGTCCGTCTCCATCGATATCCGCTTCACGAATCATTTCGTCAACTTCTTCGTCAGTGAGTTTCTCCCCAAGGTTCGTCATCACATGACGCAATTCGGCTGCCGAAATGAAGCCATTGCCGTCTTTGTCGAATACCTAGAATTACGTCAATACAGCATACGTGCAGGAACTTTATGGGAAACAATTTATATAACTGCCACATGATTAGTACGAACGATGAAATAGACTTCCTGGGGCAAAGTGAATCAACAATGCCATGGACCGTACTGTGAGAAGAAGCTTAATGACAAAACCTCACAAAAAAGTTGCACTCTATGGCCTTAATTATTTCTGTTGCCTGCTGAATGGGACACAGAGGCTTTTTTTTGAAGCTAAGTACTAGGAAAGGAGTTCCTGCAACCTACTACTACAACTAACTAATTTGAAAATTGTCTCGCAAAATTCAAATCTCTCCCCGCAGTCACTCATCACCTTGTCAGAACCTAAAATTTGTTTAGTTCCAAAGAATATACATGAAAATTCCAAGTAAAAGAAATAAGACTAAAATTTGCGTCTCGAACGATCCACAACCATTGAAATTACTCAAGAGCTTAATAATGAAAAACAGTGAAATGAACGAATACAACTAACAGAAGGCAAAGGCAACGCGTTTCACACTGCAGTTGTCGAGAAAAGCGCAATTAGCTAGCCTGTTCAAATTTCATTATAAATGAACGTCATCGAGGACATGCACCTGAAGCTGATCTTGCGACGTCGCCCAGCTGCATCTCCACAGGAACCATTCTCCTACACATATTTTATGCATCAATCCCCATTAATTGTTCAACGAGTTGGAATGCGTCATAGTTCCTGCGGCCCACATCCAACATGCCCGAAATCCCTAACGAAAGCTAGCACCACGCAGAAATGATGAAGAAGCAAAGGATTTCGCATTTTACCGCATCGCTTGGAGCGGACCTTTTTGCCAAATGAGAAGAACGGAGCTTTGCCTCCGCCTAAGATATAAATTGCAAAACGCAATTAGTAGTCGCTTCCTATTACACATTCATTGCGTATGCCATTGACTATCCCTGCTGTTTACTAGTTCATCGCGTGCTGAAATATCACAAAACGTGCAAGAGACGCTGTATCCCAATAAACAGACTATTATGAAATGTGCTTTAGCTCATCTATGTAGATGTCACGTACTGGTCCCAATAAAAACACACTTCCCTACTAATCAGACTGTCAAGTGAGTCAGCCTAATTCAATTTGCGAATCAATATAGGGGTAACAACCGATTGAAAGTTGCCCATCAAGCTTTAAAAATAATAGCGCTTTAAAATAAAGACTTCCTATAATGAAATTGCGAGGTGACTTTTCGATGAATTGAAATTATTGGAATATCGAAGGGGTTTGCCTGGCCGAGACAAATGCAAGTCAAAATAGCAGAAGCTATTCAGAATCTAACTCGAACTGCACACTCCTCGAAACATTCCCCAACTAATTCCACAAAAGAAATGATTCAGGTTTTCAATGGTTAACGAATCAGTCGGGGACACGAACCTGAACACCCACAAAGATCTACGGCGAATACATCACATCAGGTCGAATTTGTGACTACCGAGATTGTAAATTAGTTTTCATGTCGGCACTTTTGTTACATAAAGAAACCCATATACTAATCTTATAAAAAAGAGTATGTCACAACTTGATAGGCTAGGTAAAAAGAAAACGACAACCAAAATTTTAGTATGGGAGAGCAAGATTCAACTAGGTTTTGACGTTCACGGCTACCAATATCCAGCGAGGTACTTTCCATAAAACTCATGTAACGATGTATGNATGTATGCTAAGCAAACTCACCCTGAATGCTTCACGGATCTCCTCTTCGCTATCGGTATCCTTCATTTTCCTCGCCATCATTGTAAGGAATTCGGGGAAATCGATAGTTCCATTACCTAAAAGTGAATAACATAGCAAGTTGTACGCACGATAACAGCTTCCATCAAAAACCAATTCCTCACCATCAGCATCGACTTCGTTAATCATATCTTGCAATTCAGCCTCTGTTGGGTTTTGACCTAGCGATCTCATAACTGTCCCCAATTCTTTGGTGGTAATAGTACCGTCGCCATCCTTATCGAACAACGAGAAAGCCTCTTTGAACTCTGAAAGAATGCAAACCTTACTTTTCTGAGCTAATTTTATTTTTAAGTTAAGAGTCAGCAAGTTAGAAAGGCTTTTTCGGATGGCAATAAAGGGAGCTGGTTATGATGAAAAGAGAAGGACAAGTATTGGAATATTTAGCAAGAAAAATCTTCACTAACACAAAATTGAATTCAAACTTTATATGAGCACAACAACACTGAATATTTTACAGATCACGGTAACCCGCCCCGATGATTCCAATCGCACATTGTTTTCCACCCACGCATTGTACTTAAATTCTGGATTTAGTCCAGTTTCAATTCGACCTCTTGCGAGGTAGGCAACGCTACTTTCCTGGTCTTCGATAGAAAGAATGTCTTTTCTGAAACATCTCAATCCTTTTAAATTTACTTACCAAACACAATCGGTCTAATGAGAACATCTTTGCAAAATCATGAAAAGATAGATCGCCGCATACACAGGTACAGACCCCCAAAAATCCTAGCCTCAGAAGGTTTCTAGAATGCTAAGTCTGGGAACATCTTGAAACAACATGGTTTTCCCGTAATAATACCGATGTTAATGGCTCAGTGAAACTGAAGAAACCTGATTGTATTGTACTGTTCTTCAACACTGAAGGTCTAATGAACGCTAGAGCGCTTAACCTCCACCAAATCTCCGATTATGCTCAGTAAAGTATAATATTTCCAACATTCTTTCTTTTTACTAATTGAAGAAATAAAGAGGATATATCTTCACAGAAGCATTTCACTTTTACACAACTGAACAAGCGGCAGGAAGTACTCAATAATGCATGAAAGGCACTCATCACATTTAATGTAGAGTCATATGCTCTGGGTGTGCACTAATACAGCTTGAAGTCCTCTTATCCGATAGGGATATATTTAGACGCCAATAGGTAGTCCGTGCGTCAAGATGACGATTTAGAAAGACATAAAAACTCATCGTTGTCATGACAACCTCACGCTTAACAATCATAATCAGGTGCTAAAAGCGGGTTATCGTTTGCGGGATTCATGTAAATAAGTAGCAATTTTATTTGAATATCTAAACTGAACTTTGCTGTAAACGTACCGGCAATTTGTTCCTCGGTAAGCTGGTCAGCCATTGTGCTATTGAGGTGTGGAGATCAGAAGAAAACAAGTACCGATGCTTGGGGCGGGATGGCGAGAAGTCCTTGCTCGACTGCTGAAAATCGTACAGATTAGTGGTATGTGCGGCGCCGAACCGATGGCGGTAATCGCAACGGCAAACGTCATCGATCGTATAATTTCTTTTGCGGATAGCAAATAAAGCCCGAATCAAGAGCCCACGCTGTCATGGAAAGAATATGGTTATGATTGGGTGATACGGAGCAAATGAAGGAGTGCGAAACAGAACCGAAATCGAAGAAACTGATCTCGACACGAGCACAAAGGAAATGAGACTGACTGAACAGTTCGTTATCGAATCAATACCCACTCGGGGAAATAGCGGCCGAGCGGAGGCCGAGGATGATGCGGACAGCGAGCACACGTGGAAAACCAGTACGGTTCCTTTAGTGATTCGCCCCTTTAAGAGTTCGCCGACAAATACGACTTTCACTATCGAAGAAATCTCGTTTCTTGAAAGACATCACCAGAGTGCTTTTGAAACTACACTAAACCCATCAAAACCTCGAAGTTTAAATGCACCAACGCAGAAAAAGGAATTCCCGAAATCACAAAAAATAAATCCCCTTCACCGTGTTTTTGAATTGAACAGTTTCTGCGAAATTGTTGTGATCCGATCTTCAGGAAAAGATAGAGTTTTTCTATGTTTCCAACAAACTACTAGTTATTTCTACAGTGTTCAAAAGGCGAAGCAAGATAGCGATCAGGATAGAATTTCTAGGTCACTGTGACAATTAGACAACTGACACTCTGAAGAAAACATCGACGAGAAATTCACTCATGCAATACATAAACAACAATACCGGTAGCTGGATCTGACCAAGTTGTAATGTGAAAAACAAAAACTGAAAAAAGCGGAAAATCCATTAGATTTGAGCAAAGGTAGAAACCAAACCAGGAAGAGTTGGGAGCCATGGGGAAATGCTTAAACTTATCAGTCATACCATCATAAAGGCCCATCAAAAGGAATCATGATCCAGGGAGATGAAAAGTTTTCCCAAGATTGGTCATAATGAAGCCATGCCACTAGTCGGAAACAAAAACATCGGAAAATTTTGTTCTCCAAATAATCCGTTCTACTTGTAAGGAAACCCGCCGCCCACGACTTTCTATAATGGTTAAGTCCTCCCAGATACCTATAGATTTATTGCAATTCCCGTCTGATTAGAATTTTCCATATAGAAGTCGTCCCACACCGTGATCTCCTGCATTTCTGCAAAAACTTAAGGAGAAAAGTAACAGAAACTAGCTATGTTCTGCTACACAACATTTAAAAAAAACTCCGAGCCTCACTGAATGTTTGATCTTCTTTGAAATTGAACAGGAAACACTCCAAGTTGCTGCGGTCAAGAAGACCCTGGGACCAAAAACAATGACTCGAAAGATTTTCTTCCTGAACATTTTTTCCTTTCACTGATTTAACTGGCATTCTTTACATAAGTGTCACCAGAAACGGTATTAACTCATTTCTTCTGAGTATCGGTAAGGAAAAAGGGTAATAGGAAACGCTCATAACTGATTGCTTGGTAGACCGAAAAAAGAGGGAGTATAAAAGCAGGATAGAATGGATCGCTTGAGGAGAACCCTCGACCCAAGCAATTTCGACTTCACATTACTGGGAACCAGTCAATCAGTTGCTGAGCCCCCGGACGACGAACTCATTAACTCGAGGTATGCCATATCCAAGGTCGGTTACGAGGCTGGGCAGTGGCCGCAGCAGCAGCATGCAATTAATCTGCTGGTGAACATTGCAATGCGCAATGCGCCGCGCATTCTCGCCGTTTCGATAAGCCCCGCTTCACATTTTCCGCCTGGCCGCCGAAAATCGATACGTTGATCGACGGCACGGCAGATGCCTGATGGTGGTCCTAGCACGATTTGGTAGACCCCCAATTTTCACTATTCTACTTACCATTCGGGTAATCATAACATTGGGTTCAGCGGATAACCAGTTCTCATTAATCGCGCGTGCGAGCAAATTGAGAGCGCGCATCCGGGAGAGGGATGACACGCCTGAACAAACATCTCCTCACAGGCCTGTTCTCGACACCGCATGGGACGGCGAAAACAAGAGCATAGTATACACCGTAACAACAGCTAGAGCAACCTGGGAGGTCCTCTGAAGGTCCGCCTTCAGGGCGCATAAAAAACAGGTTGTCACGAAGGTAATGACTGGTTCGTGATCACCCATTTCCTGCTGGCTCTTCCTGGCGTCTCGGCGACGAGACAAAAAGGACGCAAAGATGTTATTTGTCAACGTTTGACCATAGAAACACAGGGTTAATTGTCCGTTACCATACAGCAAACTTTTTTTTAGCTTCGTTGCTCTGGTTTCAGGAAAACACTCATAGTCTCCGAATAAGTTGCGAAACTGCTCTTTACAGCAGAACCTCGCAAACCTAACCTTAACAATCATAAATTAGGCCAAAATTGCAAAACAGGGAGTTGAAATTCTATCAAGTACTTTGAGGTAGAACAAGTTCTGATACTTCACAACATTACTAGATGCTCAAGCTGTTGATTTATCCGACCCTTAAACCATACCTGCTGAGATCAATATAGGAGTTCTGAGCTTTCTTGTAAAAAAAACAAGGCCGTCCACAAACCGAAGAAGCCCACCCTTTTTCCCTCAGCAAGTTGTTTGCCTTCGCTAACTCGGAAAACAACCCATGAATCGCACCTGTCGTAATGGAAAAACGGACCACTCCTATAACTTCATTAAAATCTGAACCAGTCAAAATTAAATATGAAACTTGCTTCCGGTATCAAATGAAGCATAAAAACAGGGGAGGCAGAGCCCGATAAGATGAGATATGGATACGATTGCGGCTTTCGGAAATAGCATTTGAAAAGGTAACAATGAAGGACTAGCATCCCAATGATGTTCTGACAGTTCTGACACACAAACCAAATGAAGCCATTTTTCAAAATGTCGATTTACCGGAACGCTACAAAAAGCAATCAACAATCTATCACGAAAATTCATGGAGGGAAATGGCGATAAGCGGCAACATGAATGAATTTATTCTGGACCTTCTCTATAATTGCCGAACAAGTCTCACTCTTCTCAGTTACTTTGTAGTATCAAAAGGGCAACATAATAAAAGTCTAGTTGGATGTCTTCTCAGAACTCACTGAATAAGGAGAAATGCTCTTCGCAATAAATGAAACCCAACGACGATGACGGAGAAATCCAATATGCTCGAATGGCATTGAATTACAATGTGAAGTCCATCGAGTCAAGGATATTAAGAGAGCAAGAAATGTACTGGATCCATTGACTGCAGGTGACTAGAAGGATTCAATTGGGTGTGGCCATGGCAGGAAATGCCCCAGGTTCAAGATAACGGGTGTATAGATCGCGTGGGACCCTGAAAGAAGGAAGGCGATTAAAATCACACTCGAATTTTACAGCATGACTCACGAAGGGACGGATAGCGCCGCAGGATCGCATTTCGCAATGCCCAACGCCCCATTTAGAAAACGACGCGTTACTTGGTAAAGGAGAAACAAATGGAAGGCGTCAGCAGCAGCTGATCAGGTATGATTCAACCGAGCGCACCAAAGTACACCAACCCACTTTCCTTGCTAAACTCCCGAGTGGGAGTCAGATGGACTTTGTTTGCGGTCGGGAGGGTTCACGGATGGGAGTAAATACGTCGAGACGCGACTCGATCCGTCGCAAAGGTGCCGAGCCGGTCACGGGGCGCGCTCAACACGCAAAACAGTGGAGCATGGGCGCCCAGTTCGCGGGTCTCGTGGTGCGACCGAAAAAGCGCGGAGGCCAAAGTCGCCGGGGGCGGGCCGACGGCGCAGTGGGCGCGCAATGCGCGCGCATTGCGCCGCTGACCAGCCGTCCCGTCGACTTCTGCAAGGACTGGGAGCGACGCCGTCTCGTCAAGCGTATGGTGGGTTCCCGATCGAGTGTGATTGTGGAAGAACATCCCTTCGTAATTTAACATCTTTTAGGACTGTAGAAGCCGTTATAGGTGTGTTCTGCTATTCAATTATTACTAGTAAAAATGCAGAGGTGTAGGGATCGGAGAGCGTTTAGTTCATGGCGGAAAGTACAGGAAATCGACTTAATGGAATGGAAGTGCCTTGCTGGACGGTGTAATTCGCCGAATTTATAGGATTATTCCCAGCTGGGAACGCGCGCGCATTGCGCCGGGAACTGCGCGCCGGTTGCGCAGCGCTGCACAATTGGTTGCTTAGAATTTTACATCTGGTTGTGCACAATACGCCATTTTAATTTGTTGGAATGGGAGTTTACCCAATGGGTGAAACAAAAAACAATAAATTTGAAAGGCATGGTTCATGGATCCAGTTTTGCCATTGTGTTCTGCTAAGTTCGGCAAAATAATGAGGCCTAGAACCCGGTAACCATTCCCGGTCGATGGGTTGTTACGGAATGTTTCGCCTTTCACTCAACAAAATTTATTTGGAAGAAGAGTATTTATAAATAATTGATTAGTGATGTGGCCCCTGCAGCAAATATTTTTTGAAAAATCCAGATAATTATCTATCTGGAAAGCAATGAAGTTTAGGAAATTAAACATTCTCTGATGTGAACTTTGTTATTAATCACGACCTGCTCCCATCTCTCTATCGATTGATTAATTCCATTTTCTCCACCACCCTTCCCAGAAATTGGCCCGCCCGGCTCGATTTTGAGAAGTCAGCTTTTGTTCTGCTAGACAATGAGTAAAAATGGTCATAATCCGTTATGTAAGGTTCTTAGGGTATGGTAGTTCGAGTGGATTCCCCTTTTTATACCATGGAGAGCCATCCTGAGGACTTACCCTATGTGGGACTGGCAGTGTCGTGCAACATGATCGCTTGGTCTGAACAGTCGTCTATTTTCATTCGAATAGCCTATTTTACCCGTGTAGATGGATAAATGAAGACGTTTTCTCGAGCATTTCTCTATGTATTAGGTGTCTCCACCTTGTAATAT